ACTGTAGGATTACGGTAAGAATTTCCAGCATATGGAACCGTCGTGAAGTATGCCCTCTGACAAAATTTCTTTCATAAAATCTGAAAAATCGTGTACTAGGGTTTTCGCGTATGCTGATTTTATTACACAACTTTTTACAAGTGTTTTCAGCATTTTTGACAGTGTAATCACATTTTTGACACATGCTGGGAAGTCAGCCATTACACTTTACCTAGGATAACTTTGAAAAGAAGTATCATATTGAAATGGAAATTTCATATCCGAAATCAGCGGTTTTCATTATCATACTACAAGAGGTTTTGGCTTGTTTGGCTCTGTTTCGAAGCAGAAAATGGCCTTCAATGGCCTAAAATCCTTGTCAAATTTCCTACCGTAATTTTACAGTAAAGAGGAGAGTTAGATTATTCGCTTCATACCGTAAATCTAAGTTTATCCTCGCTCTACAAAACGGTACCTAAAGCTCGGCGAAAGACTTGAAAACAAGGAAGTTATTAACGATCAAACAGTGTTAACATTTTTTTGGGACACCCTGTATATTGAACATATAGGATTTATTCTCTTTTCTGAATAAAAAAGCAAAATACTTGAAAAATCGCGATTTCTTGGCGCAACAAAAACCAAATAATCATGTTTGAACATAATGTGCGAAGACAGATGAGATTTGAGGCAAACTGCATATGGATGGATAGAGCGTAAAGAGCTTTATCAGATGGTAGTCAGATAACATGCGTTCACTTGCAAAAGAATGAATAACACGCATCCTCGTTTCAGAAAATGCTAATGACCATATCTCCTGGCTTCAGCCGTTGCGGCCAGCAAGCTATCGTGGGTTTGGTGTGGCTTGGACCTGAAGGCGGCGCTTTGTGACCAAATTAAGGCCGCTTGCGCCCGCAACGTAGTCTGCGTTTCACTCGTTCGCGTGCTCTTTGATCATTATTAAGCCTTAGAGGCAGGAGCTCGCAGGACCGAACATCCTGAAATTTTGACATGGAAAGTTGCTTGCACCCCAAATATGAGAACAGAGAAGTTCCGAGCGCACAGCATGCTGCCCTTGCCTAGAAAATCCCGTTACGCACAAATCACTACCTGCGGACGAGCTTGCGATTCTCCCTGACCCATCAGAAAAGGCATGCTCGCAATGTTATATCGTTGCGGGAGGGTCCCGCAAAATCGGGAGGGTCCCGCAAGAGGCGGGAGGGTCCCGCAAGAGGCAAAATCGTTGCGGGAGGGTTCGATTCAACGATTCTGCCTCTTTAACCATGGCGGGATGTGCTCCACTCGTCCAAATTCAAAATTGGAGGCCTTGGAAAATTGTGGTTTTTGCTATTTTCGGGCTCTTCAAGCTGAATCTCCGAAATCAGTGCCTCACATTACCCCGAGTAAGCAAAAAACTTGAGGTCAAAAATCTGCCGAGTCGCTGCCTTCAATTAGGTCACGAAGCCCCGCTTTTCAGCCGTCAAGCCAGTTGAATCAAAGGATATAACAGAGATTCAAAACAAGAATGGATCTGAATTGTAGAGATCAAACCCCTCATAGCTTCACTGAGCGTTCATGACTTTTTTCAGGAATTGGTTCAGCAGTTAGAGAAGGTAGATTTGGACAGCTCACTGGGACGCAAGTGATGTATCTATGTTTCTCCTCAGCGGAAGTTGGGAACGCTTTGCTGTATTTGGTGAGCGGTATGCCGTCAAAATGTCTGATCAAGAAAATCCATGCTATATCTTGCACAGATGGTTTTCTGCAAAGCTGAGTTCCTAGATGAATGCTTACCTTTGAGAGATATAATGTAGATAACTAGAGAATTGTATCAATTTACTTCTTGGCATACTCGTTTGGCTACATCTTCGCTGATGTTCTAATCATTATTGTGGCTGATAATAACTGTCGTAACAGTCGTCGGCAAAAAAAATTGTGATGTTTTTGAAAACTTTCTTGATAGCCATAGATCCTCTCGCCTGTGGCTGTACAAATAATATGGATAGTAAAAAAGTTTTACTCGAGAGAATATCAAAGCTGAGGAGAGATGGTTGGAATGGAGTCAGTACTTCTACTGCATTGCGTACTCAAACAGATGTTTTTGAACTATAGTCGGTTTCTTCAACGTATAAAAAATACGATACGAACGAATGATATTAACGGTCGAATCCCAACATTTATAATGAACAACAAACACTGATGCAGATAAGTTTTTATTCGCAAACTGATCTTTGAGAAATGGGAACAAAGGCATAAATGAAATAAAGGAAATATAGATGACAAGATGACTGGAATAGAAAGGCAAGAGCAAATGACCCACTTGGTCACGGCAAATATCACACTACCTATTCTAGGCTCAAATTGTAGGCGTGGATCACCTTAGTTAGGGCTCCGCCCCTCTCTATCTCTCAGACTCCGATCTCTCATTGGCGTCTGTACCCTGGGTATATATGGCCACACCCACTCCACTGGATCCAAATCAATCCCTAGTGAGCCTTTGGGCCACGCCTCTCTCACCATCGGAATATACGGATCTCTCACCGGTGTGTGTCCGTGGGGTATGACAGTCGCGCTTCGCTAATTAGCATTGGTTATTGACTGCCAATGACTCATGATAGAAAATAAACTGCCAAAAAGCACTAATACAACAAAGTGAGCTCGCAAAGAATGTATTTAGTCTCTATTTGGAATCAAACCTCATCGTTTTCGGTGTTACGATATTGACCAATTTCTTATATTGAAAGAATGTGGGAGCACAACTTGTGCTGCACAAGGGACTCCCCATCCCGGCTGATTTCCTATTTTCCACTACTACCTGCAATACTAAGTCATCTTTTGTGCAAATATGATTTTCTCACTTGCAGGATTCATCCGTCCAAGCGGGTGATCAAGTGTCTAATTCAGAGCTTCACTCTATTTTCGTTGTAGAAAGACGTAATTTTGGACTTTTTATTGATTTTAAATTAGATATGCTCGTGATGACTGCGTTTGCTTCGACACATCGTCAATAAATGTGTATGTACATGTTGGAATGTGCGGTACACATCTTGCATTGATAAAAAACTCAATTTCGTTCTTGAGCTCCTGAAACAACCTTTTGTAGTATGAGATTGGCATTACACATCAAGGTAGTGAACAAACCTGTAAATGCATATCGGTTTCGAGAAAACGCTCTTTTATTAACGAGAGCATATTTGAATCTTTAATGAGTGTAGCATGTTCAGGGTAAAATGGTAGAAGACTACGTAATGCGTGCATAGTTCGTTCAGTCAGACGGAAATCCGATGTTGCTAGAAGGGCCGGAAATAGGAAGAAAACTCCTGCAATATTTTGGCCATAGTCGATTGAAACATAGGCATGGCAGTCACAAGCTAGAAATATATTACAGATTTGGAAGTGGTACAGAAGTTTTAAAAGATGCAAGTAATTGTTATTTTTACATGTAGATTATCAGAATAACTACTCAATCCTTAAAAACTCAAATAAGCCCTGTAAAAATCTTCTTTGAAGGCTTACAAGCCTCATGTTGACAATTTTGGAAGCTCAAAATATCTGGAGGGCTCAACTATCTTAACTAATGCCAACTCCCTATCGTTGCCCCTCTCCCCCCACCCCTCCCCCTCAAAGGCAGTGTCCCGGCAGATTTTGCACCTCCACCTTTTTGCATGTTTTAGGCCTTTTCGCCACGTAGAATCCGAATTTGAACTTTGGACGGGCTGAAAAGGCCGATTTTGGGGTGTTTTCCTAAATCCAGAAAAGCAGCTTGGACGGATTTTTTAATGGAAAGTTGGGGGAGGTCCTCAGACGAAGATCCTGCCGCCTGTAATTCTTGCTTTGGATAACATGCATCATGGGGGAGAGCGCTCGTGGGGTCCCGCGCCGAACAGGCGGGGAAGGCCGTCCAAGCGCGCGCCATTTGGGGTTGCGCGCGTCGGTTTAAGGGCCATTTTCTCGGCCCAGGGGGAACATCACCCAGCCGGAGTGCGCCTGGAGGTCGATGGGGTGACCAAGAACTCCACCACACGTATATCCCCCAGGACCCGAATCTGCCGGGACACTGCCTTCAAAAATTGTTAGGCGCTGGGCATCACATATTAGGCATTCCAAAGAGATATGGTAGTTTTAACGATCGAGTATAATGCTGGAACTCCAGGTAATTTGTGTGCTGTAAGGTGATTCCTAAGGCGAAAGGATAGATCCGGTTCAAGCGCGATCGTTCCATACCCTAAAATATGCTTCATTCGTATCAAGTTCCGATATTCCCAGAAATTTCTTGGGCTTTTTTTGAAAACACTTCAGCTGAGATTTTCTCAGTGCAACAAATCGGCTTAGGCGACACAGTGGATTGAGAGTTTTGATCGACCCTCTGGCTGCAGTTTCAAACATACCACACGCAACCATAAAGCGTATTTTCACTTCGTTAGCTCCAGTTAGTAAGTTAACAATTGTCCACATGCATTCCTGAAGCGATATCATCGGATGACTGAGTTCAGTTTACAGTCCGCAGGCTTTATCGAAACCTTCTTCAATTTCCTCTCAGCTGTGCTGACACCCTCCAAGAGCATCTCAAAAATGTTCCAATCCAAAAATAGCAGCTGAAAAGGGCACCATATCTCATGTTCAAATATATGAACTCACATCCATGTGCTCCTGATTGCTTGCTGCTATATTAGAACACATCCAAGCGGCTTCTCTTCGCACATCAGGCACAGATTGATACGACATCGAGCGCGACTATAATATGTTTCTATGTTCTTATCAAAGAGTTTCTTAGCTCCGACTTACCAAAACGTCGTAAAATCGCGGATGATTCACTACTGCTGCTGTTTGCACATCATTCCCAGTGATTATGTTTCCAAGAATGCGCAGAGCGCCATGATGAAGTTCAATAAAATCCTAAAAGTTTGAGCTCGTTGAAATTTGAAAGACCGAGACGAAAATTTCAAGCGAAAAGAATGAGTTGTTAATAAGCGATATGTCGCCTCAGTAGCGTTACTAAGGTATGATTTTGTCGAATAGCAGTTTGCTACCAAGTATTGTTCTCTAAGCTTTAACTACAAGGCATGCTTTACCGAGTCTAGAATTTCAAATGTCAAATCGATAAGGCCTTCTTCGCTAAGTACGACATCGATCTGTAAGTACTGATCTTTATCATCTACTTGCGTATTCTTGGTAAGCCACAATATGCAACGGATTCACCTGGGTCCCTTGGTGCATATCATCAGCTATCGAAGCTAGTGTCCAAAGACAGTCTTTGGCCAGTTCCGTCCATACTGCGTACTTCTTCAAGAGATCAAACAGAGACTTCACTAACATTTGTACAGTCTGTTTCATACAACATACACACCTCAGACGATACACACTGTTATTCGCACGTACCGTCACGGGTATGCTGCCGTTCCGTACTCCACCGCGCAATAAGTTCATCACGCACCACACAACATTTTTGAGATCACCGTGTTCAGTATGGACATTTTGGGAAAGTAGCCTGGCGAGCACCTAGAATTGTGTTAGTTAAACTTTGATACTAAGGTGTATGATTGGATACCGTAATAAGGCCTGTATTGCGGCATTTTTCCTTACACCTAGCACAATCGGCAGCTATATTACCCAAAGCCCAAATGCACTGGATCCGGAATTCACCTGTACCAGAAATGACTCCACTCAAAAGGGCATCGATGCCTCCCTAAAAACCCCCAACTTTTCTTCAAATTTATTGGAGCACAATCACACATACGCTGTCAACAATCAGATGATTTACTTTATCAGACATACAAGCCATATTTGTTATAGCCCATGCTGCATTTACACGGGTATCTGCTGGATGGTTATCATTACAAACGATGCGAAGCAAAAGTTCGACCTGAAATAAGAGCGGTCAGAGTAAGCGCATTGCCTATATCATTGTTCTGACGCTACATGTCTGTTTTGATTCGAAACACTCTACGTCCGGCATTTTAATCAGTGATAGCTCTTGAAACAAACTTTTTATAAGACGATTCTATTGTCAATGGTCATACCCTTCAATTCAACGAGATTGGCGGCTGGAAGGCGACAGCTCGCACCGCGAAGTCTGCGCTAGTCTCGCGAGCGTGCTCTCTGTTCATTCCCTAGCCTTGATTAGCCCTTGAATCCCCTGCTGTATCAACATTACATTTTGATTCATGTGTGACAACAAAACTCTGGAGGACCCATTTTTCTCTGTTACCCCAGGAAACCTTCTACGACATGCATTTCAAAGAGTACGCTTACTCTTGCATGAATACCATGTATTCGTAAATTTAATTTATGCAGTGGCTTTTTTATGGGGTGTACAAGGTGTATGAAAAGTTCGTGTTCTTAAGCAGCTCAACTGCGAACGCTAACTCGATTTTTACTATGTGTGTTCGCCAAACCTAGAAATCACTGATTCAACAAAGAAAATTATTTTTTGCCCTAAGATACCCTAAAAAATTTGGATGTAGACAATTTTTTCAGCTTCCTTGGAGGGGCGGAAGAGTGCGTTATCTAATTTGTTCTCTTTTTTTCCAACGCCGGAAAAGGGAAACAGCTTTTGGTTCTTTTACTATAAATAGTTCTAGATTTACACTTTCTTAGTATAACAAAAGTTCTTCAGTAGCTTGCTAACGAAGATTTTTTCATGTGCTGAATCACAGCAGACAGTCGCGGCACAGTTTGCGTTAAAATTTTTCAGTTTGAAAAAATTTGGAAGTCTTATTTTAACATGTATTTGTAGCACAACTCGCTGACCTTCGTTGTATTTGTCTTCAAAAATTTTGCACGCTTGCAAAGAAGAAAATTTTGAAGATAAAATATAAAAAATTTTGGTGCTAGACTTTTCGGAGAAAAAAATCTTGAAAGTGGACTTCTTGGATTTTGAAGCACGATATTTCAAAACGAACTTATTTTAACGAAAGTAGAAGGACATTCGAGAAACCTCGAAGAAAGAGGTTTTAGAAGTTACAGGGTGCGAAAAAAGTACTGTCTCTCAAAATAAAGTTTAAAAAATTGGCGTGATTCACAGGTTTTTCTGGTAAATTTGGCATAGTTCCCAAGATGTGAATATGTTCTAGCATCTCACAGAAACTGGCTTCAAAATTCTACAATTTTATCTGGCGGCGGATCCCTTTTCGCAGCGCATCCCATATCATCTGCAACTACCTTTTAACACGTTGACGACGAGCTTTTTTTTTTGACGTCTGTCCCCGTGGACGAACCGTTTCCGGGCATTTTCACGGCCGGCTGCGTGTATGTATGCATGCATCTGTGCGTGAGGTACAAAAATGCAGGTGGACGAGGTAGCTCCGCCCACTTTTGGCAAGCCCCGCCCACTTTTCAAAATGCTGGAAATTGCTCAAAATCAGTGAATTTGTGCAAATCCCGGCATTTTTGAAAAGTGGGCGGAGCTTGCCACTCAGGGGGTGGGGCCTGCACAATGGGGGGGGGTGGGTCAAAATTAAGATAATTTAATGTTCCCCAGTCATCTACGAGCTTTTCTATGCGATTTGAGAACGAAAAAAGTTTTTTGTAGAGGGTAACGGAGTGGGCGAGTTTGCCAAAAGAGGGCCGGGGCCAGAGGTGCGATAGGGGGAGCCAAGTCTCCCCCTACCTTCACTTTTGAGCTGGTACGGGGTGACCACCTTCACTTTTGGAATAAAAAATTCTTCGCTGGACGACAAAGAAGGAAAACAAGCAAAACAAACGCAAAAAAGATTATTGAAAGCATATATTTATGTATACGGCGGCATATATATTTAAAATAAAGGTTTTTAGTAAATGGTGTATTTGGAAGTAAAGCTTAGCAAAACTGTACGGATTTTATTAAGCAAATTATGTTATAACGTATAGCGAAGGAAGTAGGTCGATCCAGGCAGTAACGGCGGAGAACCAGAATTTTCAATATTTAAATAGTGAAAAATCATGCGAAATTTCCACTGTTATAAATCTGTTGTTTGAAGATGTCAGCAGTTGCGACTTCATAGGTTTTGAAGAGTAGATGTTGCTCTATCAGCTAGTGAAGGAATCGGGTCGATTTAAGAGATAGTCGTTGAAAACCAGAGTTCTAAAACTTTACGCCATTTTTGCGTGTTTTTTGACTGTTGAGAGTTAAACTCTTATAAATCTTGAATGTGGAAGTGTATGATGTTGCGACTTCATAGGTTTTATAGAGTAAGGTTTGCCTTATCAGAATATGTCTTGTCCGTTCCGATCCATTGAAACACCTCCGAGATCCAGAGTCATGAAAAAGCAGGTAAAAAAGAGCTTTTTGAACTTCAACAGCTCATAACTTCTTCAGGATTGCACGAATCATGTTGCGACTTCATAGGTTAGATTCTTCTCGTCAAGAGCTTTCAGATGATATATAATATGTGGGGGTTTCGCGCCTCTTACGGCATATGCCCGGGGGGGGGAGACTTTTTAGGCCAAAGTCTCCCCCGACAGCCTCCAGCCAATACATAAAATGGGCGAGGGGGAGACTTTGGCCTAAAAAGTCTCCCCCCCCGGTCATAATTCGCAGGGGGCTCTAAACCCCCACATATTATATATCATCTGAAAGCTCTTGACGAGAAGAATCTAACCTATGAAGTCGCAACATGATTCGTGCAATCCTGAAGAAGTTATGAGCTGTTGGAGTTCAAAAAGCTCTTTTTTACCTGCTTTTTCATGACTCTGGATCTCGGAGGTGTTTCAATGGATCGGAACGGACAAGACATATTCTGATAAGGCAAACCTTACTCTATAAAACCTATGAAGTCGCAACATCATACACTTCCACATTCAAGATTTATAAGAGTTTAACTCTCAACAGTCAAAAAACACGCAAAAATGGCGTAAAGTTTTAGAACTCTGGTTTTCAACGACTATCTCTTAAATCGACCAGATTCCTTCACTAGCTGATAGAGCAGCATTTACTCTTTAAAACCTTTGAAGTCGCAACTGCTGACATCTTCAAACAACAGATTTATAACAGTGGAAATTTTGCATGATTTTTCACTATTTATTTATTCGAAATTCTGATTCTCGGCCGTTACTGCCTGGATCGATCTACTTTCTTCGCTTTACGTTATAACAAAATTTGCTTAATAAAATCCGTACAGTCCAACAAACTTCTACTTCCAAATACACCATTTACTAAACACATCTATTTTAAATTTTTATAAATAAAATTTATAGATATTTTTAATATTCATCGTATCTGTGGCCCTAAAGAGGGCCGTTGGGTCGACGTTAGACCTAGAAAGATAGCTCCGTTCGTCCGTTCTATCCTCCCCCCCCCCGTCGACGTTTTTGGGAGGTGAGTGTCCGACACTACCACCTTCACTTTTGGCCGGCCAGTGGAAGCTGAAACCACCTTCACTTTTGGGGGACCCGGCTCCCCCTATCGCACCTCTGGCCGGGGCCAACACGAAAAACTTCTGAGCCCAAATCGATTATGTGTACACAAACTGGAACCATTGTGCACATTAGAAGTGGTGTTTAGGGTATCGCACCATTGCGCGACATCGCCCACAGAGACATACTGCCTCTCGCGCACCATTGCGCGACACTGTCGTCAACGTGTTAAAAAATGTGAAAGAAGTGTGATTTTTTTGTGAAATTCTTTTGTTTCCGACGTGGATTTGAAAAACCTACTGTTTGAAAAGTATTGTAGTGTCTTCGAAATATGCTGGAAGTATCCGGATCGCAGTTGCAGCAAGGCCCCGGGCAGACTTCACGCGATTTGATCGTCGCGACTGAATCGCGAAGAGACAATTGTTACAACATCATTCCATGCCGATCAACTTGCATTTCGGTTGTGATACTTTTCCAGCCCGAAATTTTTGAATGTGAAATGAAAATGAATGAAAATGTTGGCGATTGAGTCGCGACGATCAAATCGCGTGAAGTCTGTCCGGGGCCTATGGGAAAATTTGGGAAATTTTTTAACGAAGTCGTCTGCCACGCAACAGGGTTCGGTCAGAAAACGTGGCACAGGAACTAAGTATCATCCTTAATTGACTCAAAATTATAATGTATACAAAGCCCGACGTTCTTTTCATTATTTCTATTACTTTTTGTTGGTATCTGGAATTTCAAATCATAGTTTGAATTTGAGCAAGCGCAGTCCTGACTCGCTGACTCGCCTCTTTTTCAAGAATATTTGCGATTTGCATGTGATATAATCTTCCATATTTGGCTAAAACAAGAGTCAACAACCTAAAATTCATCTATAATGGGTATAGAATATTGTAGAAGAAATCATGCACTACATACTAGCCTAATTTGAGCCTTATATCAATGCTGTTGTTATAATTACTGTCCAAAATCGCTCTCGTATGCTATCGGCGCATCGTCAACGTTCTTGCGCGCTGTTATCACTCGTTTAAACGGAAAGAAGGGAACAATTTCAATCAAACTTATCTTTATCTAATCCCAAGGATCTCGCCTACTTATGGGAAACAAAAAACACAGATTTGCTTTATGTTTAGGGTATTCAGAGGCCAAGCTGGGAGACAATAATTTATCCGCACCCTATATACCAAGTTTTCTGTGAATTATCTTTCCTTTTTGTAACAAGTGTTTAAAGGAAGGAGGTTTGAAAAGCTACACTGATGTGTTTAAATCTATTAAAAAAAATCAAACAAACCGCAAAGAAACCTGAATTTCACTGAAATAATGGTGTTATGATGAACCAAAAGTTCTTTCGCACCAAATCAAAAATTCATAACTTCTAAATTTTGCAACCAATTGGACAGCTTTTATTTTTATATGAAAGAGCAATTCATTCTCTTTATAGGGGTACCTTAGCGGCTTTCTGTTACGCATACATTGCTTAGATAGAAGCGGTAGAAGAAAATTAGTCAAATTCCGCATTTTCTGTGT